GTCGCCGCCGCCGGCCTCCCTCTGCACTGTGCCCGCAGCCTCCTTTGCAAGTGCGGCGGAGGCGTTGCTGAGGTCCGGCGCCGGTGCACCGCGCGGCACCGACGCATCCCGCGCAGAACTCACAGCCGCGTCGGTCGTCGCGGGGCCAGTGCCGGCCGCCACTGACGGCTCCTCTTCACGCCGCCAGCCGCTGCAGCCTCGTCGTGCGCAGAGTTCGTCGGGTCACTGGCGGCGAATGCAGCGGCGGTACGAGGCGGGTGCCCCGGCTCCGGCGCCGTCACGCTGGCCTCCTCCTCCTTCCTCTCCAGAGCGGCAACCTCACCGGCGTTGAAGCAGCGGTTGTACAGCAAGACGTTCGTCACCGTCACGCGGCCCTCAGAGGCTGCTTCGCTGCCCCTGCAGTCCCCAACGAAGACGTGCGAGACCCTCTCCGGCGGCATCTCACGCGGAGGCTGCCCTAGAGGAGGCGGAGGCGGAGGCGGAGGAAACACATCAGCTGGGCGCCTTCCCTCCAAACTCCCCACAAGCCGCCCGTCGACGTACGCCGAGCCGCCGCCGTTTTCCACCGTGAGCACCACTCGGTATGCCCTCCCCTCCTCCCACGCAAGCGTTTCAGCGTCAATGCCTGCTTCTGCTCTGGACCTCGTCTTCCAGCGCTTGTGCTCGTCGTACCACAGCCCCAGATATGACCCAGTGAACACTGTCCTCACGCCCAGCAGTGGGGTGGCGCTCTGTGGCGCCTTGTTGATGGTCACCGTCGCCACAAGAGTCACCTCTTCGCCCACAGAACCGCGCTCTTGGCCACGCTCGGCTCTGCCCACCGGCCACGCAACCTCTGCACCACGCCCCGCCAGCTCAAAGCCGTTATCGACCTTCTTTGCTCCTCCAGACACCGTGGCATTCACCCCAAGGTACTCGTCATTCCAGTGGGTATTGTTGCCACCGTTCGACAAGAAACCAACCAGCCCGTCCGTTGGCATCGCACCGACGCAGGCAGCAGCGGTGGCAGCGGCGGTGGGGCCGCAAAGCTTTGCAACTCTGGCGTCCACATCCTTCCAAGTTTGCAGCACAGACTTGATGCGCTGCAGCTGTTTTGGGAGGCGCGCAAGAAGAAGAGTGTCTGAGCTTGCATCCACGCCTTCCTTCGCGTAGAGGGCAAAGAGCTCATCGTTTGTGTACAGCAGCGAGCTGAAGGGGGCGCGGCCCGCCTCATCCGCAGATATTGGCCCAACATCGTGGGTCCGGGCACCGTCGGAGAGCCACAGGCGGATTACTCTGCGTAGCCTCCCTCCTCCGCTGTTCTCTCCTGCTGGCGCAGCAAGACTCAACGACACCCGGGTGTACAGCAGCACACTCCTGCCCGCAATGGTTGCGGTCATGAGTTCGACAGGAGCGTGGATCATAGACAACGCGTATGCGTCGCCCAACAGGCGCGCGAAGGGCCCGGCTGCCTCCTTCCACGTCCTCCCCTCGTCACCGGATTCGAAGACCCTGCGCCGCCACGGCAAAGAAAATGCGGAGGTGACCATGAAGAGTTTCCCCGCCCACTCGAGGAGAGTAGCAGCGTCACAGTCCTCAGCAGCCACAGGCGCCGCAGGAAACTTCCAGCTGCCCCCATTGTCGCCGGAGTACATGACGGTGCAGGCACGTCTGTCCCTTCCCCCGGTGATGATTCCCGCGAGAGGGAAGAGAACCGTCGCGGCACCAACCGCAACGCCTCTGGCGCTACGAGGGAGTTGCAGCACCGCCCACGACTGCTGCCGCATCTCTTCGGCAATCACGGAATCCAACGGCCGGGGTTTACTCCACGAGACTCCTTGCTCTTCCCGCCCTTCCCCGGGCCCATGAACTTCACCAACAATCAACGCAAGGCCCCAGTGAACTTCACCCAAAGAAATGCGTGCCTTCGTCACTGC